CGTCTTTATTATCTGTGAATTGCTATAAATTAGTTTCCCTATTATCATCATCACAATTGCAAATGCAGAATTCCAAGTTCAGAGATCAGTCTACTTTGCTATTTAATCCATGAGGAAAGAAACAATAATCATGCCTTTACCAAGGACACTTGTGCAAAAGTGAACATAGTGGAAGAGATTGAAATTTGAACCCAGTTTACTGATTCTTCACATTTTAAATAATTATATGTAATTAATATGAGTAAAAGGTTTTTCACTTAGCTTATTGGTGTTACCTTCAGAATCCCAATTTTATCCCAGTTTTATAGACAGACTCTCCAGGAATCACTCCGTCCACTCGTCAGAAGTTATCAACAATTGACTGCTTACACTTCTCAATTTTTTTTTAATATGCACTTTTTATTGGTGAAAGTTTTTTTTCACAGTGCGAGTGTGTGTGTGTGTAGAATGTTGTGGTTATTAATCCTTTTCATTGTTTTTTTCATTTTACACTCACTCCTTATCAGTTTTTTAACTTCTTTTCTTTCAGTTGTAGCCATTTTGACTTCCATTTTTCTAAACATATACTGTTGTTATTAATTCTTGATCATTATGATAAAAATATAATTTTACAGTATGCCATATTTATGGTTAAAAGTGGGTTAATATTAGGGATGGGCGTATGTAAATATAAAAGTGTGTACATGTACACATACATATATACTTATATATCTAAACTAGGCTTTTGTTTTTTATTTGGTTTGGTAATATAAGTATTAATTGAAGTAGGTTAATTTTTATTTATTATTGTTTGAACTTATGTGCATATGTCTACATTTATACACTTATGTATACAAACATGAGCACATGCATATATAGGTACATGCATGCATACATATAAATGCACATACATAGGTTCATGTACACTTATGTCTGCTTAGTAATGGATAAACTAGTGTTTAAATGGTGAAGTTATTTTTCTATTTGTAAGGGTATTAATTATGGTTGATTGGGTTAATAGAATTTATATATATATATATATATATATATATATATATTAGTGCATCAACAGAACTGCAGTTGGGATGCTGAATGCAACATCTATCAACTAAATTACATTTTATATTAATCATTATATATATATATATATATATATATATATACACACACACACACACACATTAGATGAGGAACTCCGCATTGCCCGGGTGAACGTGGTTGCAATTGTATAACTGCACCTTCCATATACTTGCACCCCTGTCTAGAAATAACTGCATCCCCACTTGCATGCATCATCCGTTGGTATACTAAGCAACTCCTCCCCCCCCATCTTTTTTACAGTATGTCCTTGGCAAGTGTTTGATTTTCTTAATAAAGGGATTCCATCAATAAAATTTTCTTGTGTGGTTGTTGCTCGGAGTTAAATTGTTTCAATGTTTTACATATTCAGTAAATTTCCTATGGCTGTAATAACTTTCAAATAGTATGGCATTGTTCACAAATATAATAATTAAACAAAAACAGGAATGAAGTGTCAAAGCTTGATTCAATTCCAAGAGCAAATGCATGAATACTCCCTTCTTTGCAGGTTTACTGTAAAGTTGAGAATAATAAGAGGTTCTTTGGGATTTTTTCCCTTTTAACACTTCAATAATAAGGTTTTTTGAATGCCAATTTAGGATGGAATCATATGAAGAAACTATTGGCTAAATGGCAAAAGCCAATTTTGGACCTAGTTTGTTGCAGATTTTGTCCATTTAACTGAAATGATCTAAACCAAACATTCACACAAGATAATTTGTGTGTCATATGTAATTTACCTGACTAATTTGGAAAGCACCAGATAAAAAACCACTGAGTTATGGCTGAAAAACCAGGCTTTTTGAATACTTTTTGATGATATTTTCATTATACGCTGGGAAGCACACAGGATTAAAACCACACTATTTCTTGCATGATGGCAAATTTTTTTGCAATATGTTTGACGAAAATCAGATAAAAAATGAGGAAGTTATTCAAGTTTTAATTTTAAATAGTATGAAAAAGCTGATTTTTTTCAGTTTTTTTTGCAATATTTTGTATGAAACCAATGTCGTAGGAAAACTATCAAGCTCTCTACATAAACCTCATAACATGAGCTATGTTTTGCATTAAGTGCAAAGAACATTAACTCATCCAATAAAAATTTTGTTCGTGTGTAACTTTGCCTTGGTTTTTCCAAAAATGTTGTACCCACCTTCAATTTTTCTGCCAAACCTGGAGTGGGGGGACCTGGAGATTGAAAAGCTGGTCTTGACCTATCTTGGTAAATTTGCAACATGTGTGTACAATTTCATCAAAATCAGTCAAGAAATGTGGACACAAATAAATAAGCATACACACACAGACAGACAGACAGACACACACATACCTTCTATTTTATAGATATAGATAAAAATTAAAGGTCAGTAAGTATTCACAAAAAAAGTTTGATTAAAAAGAATATATACACGGAAATGCCTTGAGATAAAAGTTTAATTTCTTCCAAGACTGAGCTTGTAACTCAAAAGACTATCCGGCTCATATCTCAAAAAACTTGTATGTTGGTATGCTCATATATCAAGGCATTGCTTCTGTGTGTGTGTGTATATATATATATATATATCATTACTTTTTAAACAAATTTGTTTGGATAGATGTATACTTTAAACAGAGATGAAATATTACAACTTATGCAAACATTTACAAGTTTTCTTATCAAAGCAAATATGCAAATTACATTTATTTGCATGAGACAAACTGCCATCATGTAAATAAATAATATGTTATCCTAAAAAAAAAAAAAATAAATAAATCTGTCATTTTTTTCAACTGATCTCATGATAATGCATAGTTTAATAGATTCGAATAGAAATGAACCATTGGCAAAATGCATACTCACACTACAAGTTAGGCATAGTCTCAAACAAATATTTTAGACATGGTGTCAAATGTATTAAAAAATCATGTTACTTAAAATTTTGATTCTTGAATTAGGACAAAATTTAAACAGAGACAACAGCAAATTAAAAAAAAAAAAAATCACACTCTAAAATATTTTCTATATATTTCTTAGTGAAAAATTAAAGAAATTACAATTGGTCAGAATTTATGAATATGAATGAATAAAAGGATTGACTTTCAGCAGGCACAAATTACAATTCTTACAATCATGCAAAAACAATGTAAGAATGCTAAATGATTGCTCTCAGCTAAGCCAATGGGAGAGAAAGTCTGATATCATGGAGGCCTGAAACTTTTTATGACCTCAAAATAGACATCACTTAGAAAGCATTCTGGTGTGCAATATATATGTATCAAACGGATTATATATCATGAATAAAAGAGATATTAGAAAAAAGTAATTTTGTAAGGCATTTAAATCTAACTTATTAACATGATAATTTAACCCTTTAGCATTGAACAAATTCAAACCCGTCCCATAAATATCAGCTCTCAAAGACTCACTGTTTATGGTCAAAATCTCATTGTTTGCATGACTTCCAGAGTTATTTGTGATGATGATGTTATATATTATGGCAGAGTATACATGGAGCTGGTTACAGCAGGTTAAACATTGGGAGCCAATATTTACAGGGTGGGTTAAATACTAAAGGGTTAAGCTAATTCTACACTATTTAGAAACAACGAAAATTCATATTTTATTCAATTTATGTATTTTATTGCCAAACACCAATTTGGAAAACACTGAAAAATTTTTGATGTTTTTGTTCTTTGCAAGGATCATATATCCCAAATGGGGAAATTGTTTTTACACTAGGAATTTCCTATTTTAGGGTTTATAAATTCTATTCTGTCATGAAATATTCTTCAGATAAACCAAAATCTGATTGTAAACACAAATGATTTTAGTGAAATCAAAGAAAAATTGTCATCAAAGAAATGACAGAGATGAAAATAAAATTCAAAATGACTTATTAGATATTATTATTCATTGTATATGAGGAAATAATTTATTTTCTCAAAATTCAGCTTGAAAACTGAAACTGATGTCAAAACAAATGAAATGAATGAAAATGTAGTGTGAGTGTCCAAAAGTGAATGAGGGAAAGTCTTGGATTAGAAAAAAGTTATTTTCTCAGACAAATGTCAAATTGGACTTTTTTCAAGTACATGATAATACATGATACCAATCTCCCTCCCCATTTATCATTCATAATTTAGCAAAACCTACTGCAAAAAGTAAAACTAAAGCACTCAGTGGCAATTATTATATAGGGAGTAACTAAAGAAGATGAAAAAGGTGAAAGAATATCAACTGATACTATGAAACTATACCCCAAATATATGAAAAAGTATACATTTTTTAATAGGATGGTGCAAAATGTCATACTTTGAAGTAAATCATAAATTATTTAAAAGAAAAATTGGCCAAGCCAGTTTCCTGACTTTACTATTATAGAAAAATGTTGGAATATACTAAAATCCTAGACAGAAATTTGTCCTCAAAGTGAAACTTTTGTCACATTACCTTCCGACATGTAAGAATATATGTTAAAAATAAAGACATTTTCTGAAACAGCCTAACTTGTCTGGTGACATCATGAAAATAGGCAATTTTAAAGATGCTAAAACAATAAATTGAGAAAATTTCAAACACTAATATTAACATTCCTATATAAGGGGTGAATATGCATCCTGTACAAAAAAAACCTATTAAGTCATAAATAATAGAACAACTAATTTGTGTACTGTATCTGGTTGATTGGCCATTTTTGTTTTAACCACATATCAAATTCTATTGGTTATTTAAAGCAGATATCTAAATATTTTATATGCAATTTATTTTTTTTTGGGTGGGGGGAGATAAGTTAGTGATACAAGCCTTACTAATTAACCTATAGCTGGAGAAGAAATCGAGTCATACTTTTCCCAAGGGTATTTGCACATAAGTGTATATATTAAAATCAATGAGAATTGGGACTTGGCTCTCCGATTAACAATTCTGGCCATTATCCATTACACCACCTGCACATCAAATCTTACAGCACCAGGCATTCCCAGATGGTCACCCATCTAGGTACTGACCAGGCTCAACATTGCTTAACTTCAGTGATCATACAGGAATTGTTGTTTCAACATGATGTGGCCATAAGCTCCATACTTTATCTGACATACTTTGTAAATGTGAAGTTCTCAAAATGGACAGCATCTTTTTGCATTTTGGCATTTTAACATTTTTCAAGTTCTTATAAAATAAAAGAACACAAGACACACCTAAGCTATTTATGTCTCTGTAATCTACAGTAAATATTAACCATTGTCACCAAAATTTCAAATCTCTATATGTAATATCATTGGCGCTCTGAATGTCAGAAATTCTTTTAAAGCCTTATTTAACAAAACAAAAAATACAGTAAAATTTCAAGATGCTCCAATTCTAAAACAATTGAAAGATACATATTTAATATTTGGGATTTATCAATAAATTTAATCAAGGGACACTTGTAATTTTCCCAGATTTTTCTGACAGGGTCTCAAAGTAGACTAGCGGTACAATTTTCATTTAAAGAGATTTATAAAGAATCTGCTACTTTTCTTAGAGAAGCTGATAATGACTGATTTATATCCCTGAAGAGAGGCAAAAGAGAAAGGATTATCCATTGATTGCTTTGATAAGGAATGACCCAATTATATAATTATTTTAAAAACTTATTAAAATCTCTATTACCAATGATGATATAATCAAAAGAAAAAAAAATAATATATAATATATTAAAATAATATAAAAGAACAATGAGATTTATAATTCAGAGTTCTTAGCATTTATTTTTATTTTTAAAAAACAGTGCTTGCTACAACAGTAGAACATATTATAATTGTTTTTTTTAAAATACATTATCATCGCAACACCAAAATTCCCATGTTTCAAAACAGAAACTTCAATTTAAATTCAATCATAAAAATTAAATTTAAAATATAAAATTCCGTTCCATTAACAAGCGATGCTAAGAATAACTTTTTAGAAATTGATTTACTTAATTTATAAGTCCAGACAAATTTGACATTTTACAATATTGGACTTAAGGAAAATTCAATCTTTTTTTTTTATTTTAGGGGTGTTAACATCTAATTTATTTAGAAAACTTGTGTATCTAATGTATTGTAGCTATCAAGTTGGTCAAGTCAAGTCAAGGTGGGGGCTGGGAAAAATTGACATAAACTTCCTTTCTTCAAGTAGAAATAAGTTTTAAAAAATTTTAATTTAAAAAAAGGAAAAAAAATTATGTGTGTGTGTGTGTGTGTATGTATATGTATGTATGTATGTTAAATAGATTAAATATATTCTTGGATTTGCTGTCTATCTCTTTAAGTTTTGGAATGAATCTAGAATCACAATTTGAAATTATAATTTTTAATACATCATGAGTCCCAAAACCCATGAGGGTTGTTGAGGCACCATATGTACTGCAGCCATAGCAACACTGGTGTGTCTTGAGCAAGATAACCTGACGGAGCCCAACCCTCTCCAGGCTGGTTTGAATCCATTTTACATCTAGACTATTTAACAATTGAAGCTATAAGTCCTAGTCTGCCCTGTTATTTACCCATAGCTGAGAAATATTTTTTGCATATAAGACTTATATAAATATTTTATAAGCTAATGTTTTGGTTGATTTTTTTTTCTTTGTGGGTTATTTAGAGTCAAAACATGCTTTTGGATTGTATGAATAATTTTTTTTTTTTGCATTAACATTTTTTCTTTCTCTGAGATAATGATTTTCTGGTGCAAGTCCTATTATTTAATCCATAGCTGTGGGGAAAAGATAGTTTGAATTGAAAAGGTATGAAACTAAGCTTTCAGAGTTCTCATTCTGAGCTGTAATCCATTAATTAGACCACTGTGTATACATTTAGAGGAACAAAATTTGATTAAGGCAATAAAAACATAATTATCAAAGGACAAGACGAAAACAATGATAGTTGGCAATACAAAAATAAAACAAAAAAAAATAGAATGAGCTAACCAGTTATTGCTCCTCACTTGTCAGAACTTGATCAAGGGAATTGAAATATTGTGTACAACGACTATAAAAAAGGGTAACGTGAGCAAAGAAATACACATGTATCAACAATATATTGACTTGGGTGTATCCATAGACAGTCCTAACAACCAATTCTTTTCTTTTGCATAAAGATGATTGTCATGACATTTAATATAAATTGCCTTGAGGACTTTTGACTAATTGTTGGAATGTGATCCACTCAAAAGAAAAGATGATGCACACTCCTGATTTTTAACAGAATATTCTGAGATTGTAGATCTGGATGCGATGGAACACTTATGCAAATTATCCAGGTGACCTTTTTAGTTGGCGTGTACAATAATGTAATTTCCTTGATCAAGTTCTGGCAATTGAGGAGCGTCAACTATTTTCCATTTTTCCCTTTTCATATTGCCAGCTACTGTAATTGAATTTTTTTTTTTTCCCCTTTTAATTATGCTTATTTTTTATTGCATTAAATAATAACTTGATTTTATTTATTTAAGCATATTCATTTTTCAATGAGTAAATGTAATCTTTTGCTAACTTAAACAGTCCGACCAAAAGCTGTACTTATTTGTACATATCTCGCCATATTTCTTGTATGTATACAAAAAAAATAAAATAAAATAAATACCAGTCGTCATACAAAGAAAGGATTCGCTTACTTCGTCATCATCCCCTTGACTTTTGTCATAATAGGGTGGTTCTGAACGCAGAAGCCACACTGAATCCCCTCCAGAATGGTCTATCAACTGCAGCCATCATCAGCAATTCTGGTAGAGTCATACCTGTCCATTGTTTGACATTGTCCAACCAATTTTTGCGCTAGTGTCCTCCCCTACATCCACCTTCAACAGTGGCTTGTACGATGTGTCCAAACCACGCTATTTTTCTCCATTTGACAGTACTGAGAAGAGATTCCTGTGTCCCACGGGACTTTCAACCCTTTCCGCACAAACTCCTTGGTTTTTTTTTTTGTTTAAGTGGGCGGATTGAGATGAGATATTTTGAAGTTGTGATTGAGGATGAAGAAAAAAAAAAATGAAAGTATTAGAGGAATGAAATATGGCCAAAGCATCTCCATGAGATGGTATCTGATACCTTTTGACCGAATAGTTGTGTAATGTGGACAAAGATCAGTGGAGAAGAGAACAGAAAAGTTTTATATTTTTCTTATCTATATTTGATTTTATTTATTTAATTGTATTCATCATTGAATAGATATATGTATATTCTGGCTTGTAATAACATATTGGTTTGTAAACTTATTTGTAAGCATATAATGCCATCTTTCTTGGACATTTTTTTTTTTTTATGAAAAACAACAAATTCAAATAATGTTAATTCCCTACTCAATTTTATTTTGATAGATGGTATTTGAATTTATACTAAGTTAAAACTTAATAGATAAATATCATACTTTCAGTTCCATAACTTCACCCTAACATATATTCAGAGCTAATCGCTATACTTTTATTTACTATCTACTTACTTTTTCCTACTTGGGATTGGGTTCCCGGTTACTTCTAACATCTCTGCCTGAACTCCAAAATTTTATTAACTAATTATTATTTTTTTTTATCTTCTGATAGGATAAAATAGGTTCATCTATCATCCAGTTCACACTCCTTCTTGGTTCAACTCTATATTCTAATGTTTCTGACTGAACTCTGAAATTTTATTCACTAATTATTTATTTATTAATTTTTTTTTTTTTAAATTCTCTCCCAATAAGAGTAGATATGTTCACCTATGGTCCGGTTCACACTCCTCTCCAGGAGGAATGTGTAAAGGAGTAGAAGTTTATTCCTTGTTACCCGTTTAGGATTGGTGTTCCATTTTCTTCTGAAGTTTGTTTCAACTCTATACTTCTAATGTCTCCTCCCTGGTCCTTTGAACAGGAATAGAAGTTTATCCGTTGCTTCCTGATTAGGATTGTGTTTCCAGTTCCTTCTAAAGTCTACAACCAAACTATACTTCTAACGTCTCTGCCTGAACAACAAAATTTTATTCACTAATTATTACTGTTTTTTCCCCGCCTCTCCCAATTGGAGTAAATAAATTTGCCTATCATCCAGTCCACACTCCTACTTTATACTTCTAACATCTCTGCCTGAGATTCTATTCACTAGTTATATTTTTTATTCACTTTTTTTTTCCTTCTCTCTCAATGGGAGTAGATGGGTTCACCTATCGTCCATTTCACACTCTTCTAATTTTTCTTTTTATAAACATGAAGAGTTTTATCCCTTGTTTCTTAATTAATATTGGGTTTTCATTTCTTTCAAAAGTCTACTTCCACACCATATTTTTAAGGTCTTCAACTTGGAAATGTTATTCACCAATTAAATCTTGATCTCTTCAAGTCGAGAATTAGCCATTTCCTGTATAGCTTCAAGAACTTCACTTCTTCCCCTTTCTTATGCTCATATAACACACCACACAGTAATCTTCTATCTTGAGTGGCCATTGAGCCTTGTATTGGATGAACACTAGTAAATTAAAAAGAATAGCTCAGTAGCATAGAAGTTACCTTATTTATGATTTGACATTGCATGCTCAAACAAATAAAAAGCATACTGACCCAGAGTATTGTGCAAATGGATTGATCAATTCATTTTTTTATGACTGATCAACCCTTTCAGGTTATTTAAAGCCAGAAAATATATTTAGGTTGTAAGAATTATCTTGGATAATAATGTCTTAGTGATACAAGTTTTACTAATTAACCCATAGCTGGGAGAGAAGAGGTGGATTCAGACCTTTCCCAAGAGTATTTGCACGTATAACAAACTGAACTGGAACAAAAATAACAATTTTGAGCCATTATCCAAACTTCAAAGCTTACAGCACCTGGTATTCCCAAACAGTTACCCATGAAGGTATTGACAATGCTCAACATTGCTTAACTTCAGTGAATCATACAGGAACCTGTGTTCTAATGTGAAAATGGAATAATAGTAGTTATAAAAAAATGTATTGCCACAAAACAGATGAGTTACTATGATAAGTTACCCAGACTGCTAGCAAGTAAGTTATGGAAAGAGTTTTGGAAAGTTTTTTTTTTTAACTCTTCTAATGAGTAATCAGGGAGCTGAGTTCAAA